AAAACACTTTGTCCCACCATATGTTAAGCTCTGCTATATGGTGCTAAGCTGTTGTGTGATAGGCTTTTGAGGCAGAAACGACGCTTACATATGGATGCACAGCTGGCCAAGACAAACTCAACACTGCCGCACGAACAGCTATGTGACTATAGGGAAAAGGATTTAGACACATTAGAAGACTTGCTGGAAATTGCCTAGTTGTGTCCTTCTGGAATGGAGCATGAAATCGCTCTGTGGCTTTTTTACTTTAAAGGAAATAGCACTGAAATGAATGAGTCACTTCCAACCCTTCTATTCAGCTAATTCTTCCACAACTTCCTCCCTGCTCAACTAATCCATTCAAACAAAGAAAGTGAAAGATTTATAATAGTTGTTCATATTAAGTGGGATACCGTTTTATTTGCGGTGACACCCTGGCTTCTGCTTTTATACTTTCTGGTACAGTAAGTTTCAAATAAACGGCGGGTCTAGAGTGACTAATGATGTGATATTGTATTGATCTAAAAAAAAAAAAAAAAATCCACAAAAAATTGGTTAGAATATAAAGGAATAAAGGAAAAATGGACAGAACAATAGCAGAATACATTTCGTTTGTCCCTCAACCCTGACAGACTCTGTCTGATCATGACAACATTATTCATACACCGCCTTTTTACTCACCATGTAATGTCAGTCACTGCTACTTACAAAATCCATCAATGTCAGTCTCTTTGAGTTGCAGACAGTGTTCAACATCATTATCTATTTACTACAGGAGTGAAGTTCATTCCACATGAACAGACAGCAGGTAGTCAAGTTACTTTAATCCATATCTGGAGCTCAAAGCTATACAAATATGCACAGGAAACAAGGCTTTTATGTTTTATAAGCCCCTGAGATAAAGGAAGGCACAGATTTGAAGGTGAAGTCAGTTTCATTTTTTGTCTTGATAGAAAAATAAAGAGAAAAAAATATGCCACGCAAAAGAAAGCTCATCTTAAATGTTTGCACTTGCTGCTTCCATTTTGATCATTGCTTTCTTTAATCTATTTCTTGTAAGCACCTCAATTTTATGATAGTGGAGCATTAAATTATTGTATTACCCCTTTAAATGTCACGTCTGCCTATTCCATGACCTGTGTTTCACCCCATCACTGCTTCAGCAGTACAGCTGCTTAATACATTTTCAGTCTAAGGACACCATGTAAAGTAAATTCAGACTTGTGCATAAATCACTGGCTGCATCAGACAACACTGAAATCAGAGACAGAAAACGGCCCCAATTCTAACTCTTCGCTCAACACTCATGCGTCTCTTGACAGATAGCCTGAGCCAATGTTCAGCAGTACACATTACATCCCTCTGAAGGGTCTGTCCCCTGGCACAATTTAATGGCAAACTTGGCCATTACAGCCAATTCAGTGTTTCCGCAGATGTCCAAATGGCTTGGCACATGGGCATCCATGCACATGCACACACAGTTCTACACTGGCACAAAACACTTTCTGAGACAACCATTATTTATGTAGTCCTGATAATGGCCTGCTGCCTGAAGCTGGTGTGCTTGCATGTGTCTCTTGGCAGTGTAACGTATGTTTTTGTGAAGTAAGTTGACTGGATCTGAGAGTTTAATCGAACCATCGTGGCATCAGGCCCAAACTCTGGACTGATATGTTTATTACACATCAACAAAGCCTAAGACAGTGTTAGGGAGAGAGCAACGAGGGAATATCCACTGAGGTGTCTACCTGTCTTCTCTGTAAAGTGAGCAAACCAAGATACAACCTAAATGCATGAGCCATAACAAATATTTCATGAACTTCAGCTTGAAGTGAATTCAATGGTCAAAGAGAAGAGCTGATATCCCTTTTCTCAGTAGGTTATTTATTTCAGCCACACTACAGAATGTAGTGTGTACCAAAATTGTATCTATTGAGTTTCAGGATAAAAATTAAAAATCTTAAAGAGTAAGCACTGGAGTTTAGTGAATGTGGGATGCCAGAATTATTAGATGACTGGAGGAACTAAAGTGAATTTTCTGTACCATGTTCCTGCACTCTGGGGGTTACTAAAACAGCCTCCATACCTTTGGAAACCAATGAGTTCAGATGGTGGGAATCTGGAGCACTGGGTGGGAGGAAGGAAACAGTGGCTGGGGAGAGAGA